GTACTTGTACTTTTTAGAAAGCCCTCACATAGTACTACAACTTTCATGTTGGCCAGAAGTCTTGATTCCATTTGAAACTAGGTGAAAAATCCCCTTGAAGTTGGCTGATTTTAGGGTTCTTTAGTGTAAATGACTTAGAAATTTTCTAAGTTATTTTCCCTTCTAGGAATGTTTTTGCTTATATCTCAAAAAGTATGCATTTTATGGTTGTGGACTAGTATGGGACTTTTGTAGGAATTGTCAAGAGCTTTCAAATGAGACTAGAACCAACTCAATTGGATGTGCGGTTAAGGAGATACGGTTTAGCCCTTTTCAAAACCCTAATTTCCCGATTTCTCGATTACTCTCTCATCTTTGATCCAATGATCATGAAAATTGATATGCAAGTCCATTATGACATAAGGAACAACTTTGATTCACAACTTGGATTCCAATTCTCAAAATTCGAGGAGTTGACTTTTCGGTCAACCGTACGATCGATCGGTGCCGATCGAGTCGCCTGTTGATATTCTGGACATCCTGGGACTTTGACACTTCTTGAATAGTCTTTAATAGCCTATATTAACTTCATGGACCTCACTCCCACCATTAAAACCTTTCCCAACATCAAAGTCAAACCACAGTTGACTTTCCACTGGTTAAAAACCCTAATCGGGGCCTCCTGACTGCACTGTTCTTGATTCTGAAACGATTTCTTCAAATTGACTTCCCATTTGACTTTGATATTGTCTTTGATTTCATTCCATGATTGAATTGGCCCAAATCATTGGTTGATCATTCCTTGATTGTTTTGAATTTGTTGGTGCGAGAACCCTGATTCATCTGTAACTTGACAATAATAAACTTGCACTGGTTTAGGGTTAGATAATGCATGATCATGCTTCTAAAAATGATAATGAGGATCTAAGGGGTCAAAATTTGGGGTACAACAGTATGGAAGGGCATGACACCAAATATTGGCTACTTTAAGGTGTGGGGGTGTGTGGCATATTACAAAAACATGGATCCTAAGAGAACCAAGTTGGGTCCTCGAGGGATAAGATGTGCATTTGTAGGATATGCACAAAATAGCAAAGCATATAGACTGTTAAATTTAGAGTCTAATATTATTGTTGAATCCCGGGATGTAGAATTCTTTGAAAACCTTATAACTAAGGATAAAGAATCAGAGTCGGCCATAAACAAAGAATCTTGTGAAAAGGACTTTTCTCGGATTGTAGAAATACAACCTGAAGACACATCTCGAATAAATGAACCACGACCCGAACCTAGGATAAGCAAAAGAGTCCGGAAAATAAAGAACCTAGGACCAGACGAAATTGATTCTCAATCCATTTCATTTTATCTGGTTGAAGGAAATAGTACAAATTTTATTAAAAGCATTCCGGTAATTCTTCAAGTAGGGGAAGATCCTAAAACTTATAAGGAAGCAATAGCTTCAAGAGACTCCCTTTTTTGGAAAGATGCTATCCGAGATGAAATGGATTCAATTATGTCCAACCACACTTGGGAACTTGTTGATTTACCAAAGGGATCAAGACCCATTGGATGCAAGTGGGTGTTTAAAAAGAAATATCATAGTGATGGTACATTAAACACTTATAAAGTAAGATTAGTGGCAAAAGGATTTAGACAAAAGGAAGGTATAGATTATTTTGACACTTATGCACCTGTAGCGAGAACAACCACTATAAGGTTGTTGTTTGCTTTAGCATCTTTAAATGATCTGATTGTTCATCAAATGGATGTTAAAACAGCATTCCTAAACGGAGACCTCGATGAGGAAATCTACATGGAACAACCAGAAGGACACGTCCTTCCTGGAAATGAACAGAAGGTGTGCAAACTTGTCAAATCTCTATATGGCTTAAAACAAGCACCAAAACAATGGCATCAAAAGTTTGACTCTACGATAATGTCAAATGGATTTATTCCTAATTCTTGTGACAAGTGTTTATATACAAAAGTGTATAATAACACTGTAATATTTTTGTGTCTTTATGTTGATGACATGCTAATAATTAGCAATAGACTTAATGGAATTCTAGAAACAAAAAGGTTTCTAACTTCCACTTTCAAGATGAAAGATCTTGGGCTTGTTGACACAATTTTAGGAATAAAAGTTAAGCAAAATAGTGGGGGTTATGAACTTAATCAAACACATTATATTGAGAAAATGCTTGATAAGTTCAAACACCTGAAATTCAAGGAAGTAACTACTCCATTTGATCATGTAATCAAACTTGAAAAGAATGATGGAAGAGCAGTGGCTCAATTAGAATATGCAAGTGCGATCGGATGTCTTATGTACTTAATGCAATGTACTAGACCCGATATATCATTTGCAGTTAGTAAAATGAGTAGATTTACTAGTAATCCAAGTAATGAACATTGGAAGGCAATCACGAGGATATTTGGTTATTTGTTGAAAACCAAAGATCTTGGTCTTCATTATGGTAGGTTTCCTGCTATACTAGAAGGATATACCGATGCCAGTTGGATCTCTGACGTGGGAAATCACAAATCTACAAATGGGTGGATATTTACACTAGCTGGAGGAGCAATTTCCTGGAAGAGCAAGAAACAAACATGCATTACTCTTTCGACCATGGAATCAGAATTCGTGGCTCTCGCTTCCGCTAGTCAAGAGGCAGAGTGGTTGAGGGATCTTCTTTTGGAAGTTCCATTGGCTAAAGATAATGTTTCAAAGGTAATGATACACTGCGATAGTCAGGCCACTTTGGCAAGAGCATTTAGCGAAGTGTATAATGGAAAGTCCAGGCATATAGGACTTAGACATTCGTTCGTAAGAAAACTGATTAAGGATGGAATCATTTCACTTACGTATATACGAACAAGCTATAATTTGGCTGATCCGTTTACTAAGCCGCTGGCCAGAGACTTAGTAAGAACAACCTCGAGAGGTATGGGGTTGAAACTCCTTGAGTAAGAGTTCCGACAATGGCGGCAACCCAATCTTAAGTTAACAGAACATTAACGTTAAGATTTTCAATGGGTAACAACAAGTCGTTGATTTGGATAATTGTCTAACATTTCATAATTATGTTGACATTAGAAAAGAGGGTTGAGTTTTATCTTAAACTCTTAATGAAGTTCAATACCGAGGGTACGTATCTATTGGAAACAGATACTATATGAACTTCACCTATGTGAATTATGAGATGGTGCCGTCTCAAAGTGAGAGTTGGAGTTTCTCTCATGAAAAATTCATGAAACAGGATAGCACATGGCCATAAATAAGTGCTAAGCGAGTTATGCAGAGGAAGAATCTTTAAGGAGTGTGTGTAAGGTAACACCGGTCTATTCAAATGGATTCATGGTTTAAAAGCATTGCTACCTAATATTCCGATTAAACCTTGTGTTATTCTTACTAAGGTTAAGTTTAAAATCGAAAGATACTTAACTGTATTAATACTTCTTATGTCCCATTTCTGGAATTACTATTTTGTCATTATTAGAACAAGTGGGGGATTGTTGGAAATAATAATTTATTTCCATTAAAGTTGTTCCAAAATGACAAAGTGGGGTTATAATAAATGCTTAGTCCCACATTGGAAGAGGAGTAAAATTAAATAGCATTTATAAGGCACTTGGAACAATGTAATTTCCAAAAGAGCCAAAAAGGATAAAGTGCCACATAGTCACATGTGGTGGTGCCAAAACTTATGTCACTTGTCTCATACAAAACACCCCTCGCCGGTGTCGCCACCGGCGACACCGGCTCCGGCTCCGGCTCCGGCTCCGGAACCGGAACCGGATCCGGATCCGGGGGCGTGGGCGTAGAGGCGCTAGTGGCGGCTTGTAGACGGCACTTGAGCACTTAGGCACGACGCATCGGAGCAATCGGGCTATTCGCGGTGTTAATGAGGCGGCGCCGGTGGCGCTCCGGCCGCCTCCGGCGGGCGGACCGGCCTTCGGCCGGTATACTGCGAATTTAATTTTTAATTATCGCTCAGACTTATTCGTTGCCTAGAGTTTGATTTTGAATTTGAATTTGAAATACATGACACTTGACGAAGTGGTGCATGATATTTTATGTGAACCATTGCAAATGTTCATTAGAGAGTGTGTTTATGAAGAATTGCAAACTTCTGAAAAGACACATGCATGGCTATAAATATATGCTTCATAATTCGAAATCATTCACTCCAAAATTCTGAAATCCTCTTCCATATAATTCCAACATTTTCCTTGCATTCGAAACTTCATCAGTCTTGTGCAGTTTCGAGAAAAAGGCTGACTTATCCTGGGTATTCAGGCCGTTCCAACTCTAAGACAATCTGAGAGTGTGCTTGAAATACTTTTAAGGAAAGTGATTTCGTTCACGATTCAGTCTGGATCCATTCGATATAGAAGAATTATCTAACAACAACTTGTATTGATACAACTAAAAAAGAATCATATACATTTCAGACCTTTTCAATTCATATTTTTATTTTATTAAAAAAGAAATAGTATTAATACAACTAAAAAAAATCTTGTGCACATCCATAAACCTTTTCAATTTACATTTTTGTTTTATCGAAAAGGAAACTTATATTAATATAACTATAAAAAAATCATATGTGCATCTCATGGACCTTTTCAATTTTAAAAAATTAAGTTTCGAATAATATATATAAAATTATATTTAATTTATATTTAAAAAGATTCATCATATAATAAATTTGTTTACTATTAAATATATATATGATAAAATACAATATATTATTATTTGTGTCTAGTTATATTACTTTATATTTTATTTTAAATAAAAATATATTATTAAAGAGATGATGGAGGAAGTAGTATCACTGAATGAGCTTGAATGTCAGATACTACAACAAAGGGCAAAAATCGATTGAATTAGGAAGGGAGATGGAAACAACCATTATTTCTATGCTGCTATAAAAACTAAACAACAAACTAACTGCCTTACACACCTGAGAAGGAATGATGGCAGCCATCTAACTTCCCATAATGACATTGAAACAGAAGTGATGGATTTCTACAGAAATTTGATGGGCAAAAAGGATAATAACCCGAGCCACATTGACATTAAAGCCATGAGGTTGGGTGCCCAATTGAACATGGAACAGAGGGAATACCTCAGCAAAAACATCACTGAGGAAGACATCACCAAAGCTCTTAAGGGAATTGGAGACCTCAAAGCTCCTGGCCTGGATGGATATGGAGCCAGATTCTTCAAGGCCAGTTGGGCAACCATTAAAAAGGATGTGATTGCAGCGGTTAATGAGTATTTTGAGACAGGTAGAATGTACAAACCTTTCAATAATGCTATTGTTTTCCTGATTCCAAAAAGCAATAAGACTTGTGAAATTAAGGACTACAGACCTATAGCTGTCTGCACCACTTTCTACAAGATCATCTCCAAGATCCTAATTGACAGACTAGGAACTGTACTACCTAATGTGGTGAGCCACAACCAGACTGCTTTTGTAAAAGGCCAGAACATTCACAACCACATCATGCTTGCTACTAAACTGCTAAAGGGCTACACTAGGAAAGCGGACACACCTAGAATTATGATGCAAATAGACCTCCAAAAAGCATATGACATGGTCAGCTGGCAAGCTTTAGAATCCATTATGAAGGAGATGGGCATTCCTCGTAAGTTCATCCAATGGACCATGCTAGGCATCACCACTGTATTCTACAGATTCAACATCATGGGAGAATACACTGAGGTGTTACCGGCAAAGCGTGGAATTCGACAGGGCGATCCTCTCTCACCCATTCTTTTTGTTCTTATAATGGAATACATGAACCGACTATTGATCAAAATGCAAAGAGATCCAAACTTCAATTACCATGCCAAATGTGAAAAGCTAAAAATTACCAACCTCACATTTGCAGATGATATACTGTTGCTCTGCAGGGGGAAAAACCTTATTGGAAATGATTTTAGAAACCTTTCGACAGTTCTCCAACTTCACAGGACTGCTGATGAATCCCAACAAATGCAAAATTTACTTTGGAGGTCTGGATACGGAAACCAGACAAAATCTGAAGGCGCTGTCTGGCTTCCAAGAAGGGATGCTTCCTTTCAAATACTTAGGAATCCCCTTATCAAGCAAGAGACTCACCATCAGCCACTTTATGCCCCTGGTGGATAAAATAGTTTTTAGAATACATCACTGGTCCTCCAAACTTCTTAGCTACGCAAGAAGAGTTCAACTAGTCAAAAGCATCGCTTATGCAATGGCACAATACTGGATGCATTGCCTTCCCCTACCCAAATGCGTGATCAAGAAAGTAGATGCAATTTGCCGAAGTTTCATTTGGACTGGAAAAGATACGGTGAGCAGAAAATGCCCGGTGGCTTGGAAAACCGCCTGCAGCCCAACTGCTCAGGGTGGGATGAACATCGTAAATCTTCAAACCTGGAACAACGTACTCCTATTGAAATGTCTGCGGAACCTTTGCAACAAAGCCGACACACTGTGGGTCAAATGAATCCATGCACACTACCCAAAAGGAAAGGATATAATGACATATGTAACCAAAGCACATAGTTCATAGATCATACAGGGCATCCTGAAACAAAGAGAATACATGGACAAGATCCGGCAAGAATGGAACCAAGCTATGACCACACACAACTTTAAAGTCGTAACTTTTTACAAGGTACTCATTAACAATGGCACAAGAGTACCATGGAGAAATCAGATCCGATTCAACAAAGGCCAACCCGCGAGCGGTACATTGTTCATGGCAAGCTTGTCATGGGAAACTTGCAACCAAAGATAGATTGAAACGGTTCGGGATGATTGAAGAAAACATATGCAGTTTATGCAAAGCTGAAGAAGAAACGTTAAATCACCTGTTTGGTGGGTTGGATCCTCATCTGGATCACCGTTTCTGTACTTGACTTGTTTTGAATTAATATATTCTTTCTTTGATTCAAAAAATATATTATTATATTTTATTTTGTAATAATAAATTAAAACATAAAAAGTTCGATATTATTTTTTATTAAGACAATATAATTATATAGATGATAAATTAAATTATTAAAATTACAAAATTTTAAAACAACTTAAATTAGAGTTACATTTATTTAATGTAATATTTATAAGACTATATAATTTATTTAGCTAGTTTAAGTTTTTCTTATACTTATATATCAATTTTAATAAAATCGTGAAACTCTGTCTTAAAATTTTGAAGGTCTATTGAAATACTTAGAACTATTTTTTAGTTTTTAATATTGTTTATAATTTAAATATTTAAAATATTTTTTAATTTATTTCATTTATATTAGAAGCAAAAAAAATTTATATTCAAACAAGGACTCTGTTTGAGACTGAAAGAGTATCATCTTAGTCATGTGTACTTCATTTATTTTATGTTTGAATAAATTATTATATAGATAACGATTAGAGAAATTTGACGAACACGTCAAATTAAAAAAGAAACTTAATTGACAATGTCATTCGTTACTCAGTATTTAATATGACTAAATTTTTATTATTTACTCAATATTTTATCATAACTAAATTTTTATTATTTGCTCAAGACCTTTAAAAGGTCAGGACCGGCCCTATAGTGAGGTTAAATGTTCAACCCTTATCAGCTCCACTCTTTTATTTACAAATTACAATTAAATAATTCTTTAAACCTTCTAAAAATATATATAATTATAAAAATATTATTCTTAAAAAAAAATTAATCATTACAATTTTATAATAATTTAATTTAGGTTTTAGATTTTATTTATTTTTATATAATATAATAATATATCTTTTTATTAAAATAAAAATTAATTATAAGTCATCAAATAAAAACAATAAAAAATGACATGTGACTAATTTGTGTATATGTTACAATGACGCATCATCAAATGAATTGTCATGTCATTAAAACTTGATCTAAAATTGAAAAGGGGTTAAAATTCTAAAAAAAAACAAAACGGAGAGATCTAAAAATCGGATTCTCAAATGAGGAAACAAAAATTTTAAAAAAGATGAAAAATATGAGGAACAAAGTTGAAATTAAGTCTTATAAATGTTAATAAGTAATAACATGTCATCATGATTTGTCACTTAAGAATTGACATGTCATCAATTGAAGTGTCAAAATTGGATTCACAACTAAAAGCTTGATAAAACTGAAATGAGAACAAAATATCAAATTTAAAAATAGATATTAAAAGTTTAAAAAATGAGAATATAAAGACTCTACTAATATATTTGTAAAGTATCCATAAGATGTAGGATAAGATTCACGATGGGCGACCAAACAACACTCATCACCCAAATTAGGGTTCATGGTCACCCATTCATCACAATGTGTGCCCATGTATCACAATGGGTGACCATTGTGTGAATCACTTGCACATTTATGAAGACGTGGGGAATGACCTTTCCTTACTTTGTAGCAGTGGGAGATTGGCAGTCAAGGAAGAAGGTCATGCTCTCCAAGATAATAGGAGAAATAACTACTTCACTCCCATGCTTCTATAAGAAGGATACAAATCACACTATTAGATCTTTAGATCTAGGTCTAAGATGTAACACCCTTCTAAAAATCCCACGAAAATAACGATTAATTTAATCATATAAACACAATCACAAGGGTGTCACACTTCATAAAACATCACAATTATCATGCTCCGTAACACGGGTTAGATAAAAACATATATTAATTCAAACTCATAAAACATCACAATTATCATACTCTGTAACACGGGTAACACAAAAATATATATTAATTCGAACATACTCATTTATGAGCCTTTTATGATTTCAAGTTATTTTAAAAACAACACAGCGAATTCAACAAAAAGAAATTCAATTATGATTCTACAAATGAGTCTTAAATTCCAACATCCATAACATCAACAAAAGATAATTTTCATCAACACTTAATTCAACATCTTAGAATATCACCATGAAATTATTAGCAAATACTTCGAAATAAAGAACATAAGAAATTAAGAAGACATACGTCAATCCCAACCCTTACTTCCTTGGAGTCTACTTCTGAGTATCTACGCGTTATCCACATGCAGGCAACATTCAAACAGAAGAGGTGTGTAATCATAATCAATTATAAACGACATAAGTAAAATATAGCATACAACAAACATGTATTACCATTTAAAACAACAACATGTTACTCTACTCATAACCATCACATCATCATCATCATTTACAAGGATATTATATATTTCACATTTTGTCATCCAACATCATCATTCTCAACAACAATCAATCCAAAAGAATGCAATGTTAATGCAATGAACTGACTCAATATGCATGTGATACCAAGTTATGAATACTTAGATTCATATCGCTCCCTGTTCCATCATCATCGGATACAGGATCTCCACCATAGGATCTGGTTCACTCTTGAACCGGAGCACAACAAAATCATCACCCCGCCATAGGTAACGCTTCACTAATCCTCCACCATACGAATTAGATACTAGCACCCGATCTCCACCATAGGATCGAGGTCACAACATAAATAGAACCAAGTTCCGACAACATGGATGCATGATTCACAACATGCAACAACATCACATACACATTGGCCCCTCTTTTGACTGTGTATGCCAACATCAACATAATCATCATAAACACATCATGCATATATTCGAACATGCACATCATTAACAACATTATCACAACAACAAATACTAAATTAATAAAATAGCTTAACACTTAATAAAATTATAACTACAATAAATTAAAAAATTAAAAAATAAATTAAAATGAAATTTAGGGAAAATTACTCAAATAATAAGTATGTAATAATGAAAACTAAATAAAATAAAATAAAATAATTTAAATTTTTATAAAATAAACTTAAAATTATAAATTGATAAAATAAAATTACAACTAAATTAATAAAATAAAAACTATATCAAATACTAAAAAAGCTTAACACTTAATAAAATTAAAACTAAAATAAATTAAAAAATTAAAAAATAAATTAAAAAGAAATTTACGGAAAATCTAAGCATAATTAATAAATAAAAATAAAACAAATTAAAAATTAAAAAAATAAAATAAAGATATTTTATAATAAAAAATTATTTTTCTAAAAATTATAAAAATAAATAAGATATACAACTTAATATAAAACAAAGATATAAAATATATAAAATTTATTACAAACAAATATATAAGATATAAAATAGTAAAATTACAACGTAAAAGGTAAACGCTGAAAGAAAGCAATGAAATCCCGATTCTCTCGTCTTTTTCCCTAATCTGTTTCCGGTTTCATATCTTCTGCCAAAGCCGTCTCATCCAAATTGCTATTCAATCGTCGACAAATGTAATCGTCACTGCTTCCAAAGCCGTCTCATCTCACTAGTGTATTCCGCCATCATTTAGGTCGCCATAACTACCTTTGTTATTGCTTTTGGTGCTTGTCTTTCTACTTCTTGTGGCCAAAACCCGATCAACAACTAGGTTTTGGTCTGCTTCTTGTTTTTCTATTCATTCTTCTATATCTATACAGTGTTCACTTTCATAGACTTGGTATAGAGAAGTTGCTACTTGTTATGCCGATTTGGAATCGAGACTCTCTAGGGTTCACTTTCAATTTATGGTTCTAAATGAAAGAATCGCTTATTATAGTTTTTCCTTCAATGAGTTGATTTTTATGAACTTCAAGTTAAATCAAATACATATGAGATTGATTGAGTGTAAATCCCATCCTACACACTCTTTTCAATTCTCAAAACTACATTTTTTTTTTCTTTTTTCCAATTGTGTTTATTTTGTTCTTTTACTTGTTACGAAAGAATTTTAAATTTAAACTTTTTTGGGAGATTTAAAATTTAAGTTATTTTTCATATTTGTTTTTCTGAAGATGCAGTTTTGGATGAGATGAAGAATGTATCATTCTAGAGGATAGTCAATGTAGAAATTTATTTTCCAACCTAGTTACCTGAGAGTTGTTTTTGTTTTGTTTCGTTTTGTTTTGATGTAGGAGACGTTATTTGATAAAACAACTTGATGTTCTTCCACTGGATGTGATTTATTTACAGTTGATGACGCCTCATCAAAACGAAAGTGAAAATACATGTATAAACATTATGAATACATCCACACTTAATCATGTACAATAATGTTTATAAGTTTCTATTAAAGGAGACTAG